CACACTAAGTGTATTCAAACAAATGATTACTGTAAATAAATTCTTTGATTGCCTAATACTGGAAAGCAGCGGTTAAGTGCTAAAGAGCCAACACTAGGTGCCTTAAAATAAGACAATTAAAATCTTAATGTTTATGTATACAAAAGGATATGCAACAGGAGTCAATAATCCCACTGTGGGGTGTGCCGGTACGAGTATCGGTACCGAACGGTTCACGGGGCAAATTCCAAATGGAAGTGATTATCCCTATTCCCTTGGAGTGGGGATTTTGGAGTGAGCAGGGCACGTGCGTGCAATTACTTAGTCGTTTGGAATGCATTTGGCAAAGGGAGCGACATAATTTCCTAATTATCTTCAGCTGGCATGTTCCCGTGACAACGCAGCACAGTGCTGTTTTACTGTCATAAATGTCTTTTTATTGTTGTTAGCATAACGGTTGCAAATAAACATACATTTTATATTTTAAAACGTTTTTAAAATATGCTATATAATATAAAAACTAATATATAAAACTTTTTAAAATATAACATTTATATTTTTTATGCCGGTGTCCATCAGCGAATCTCCTGATGGACACCATGCTGCGTTGTCACTGGGAACATGCCAACTGAAGATAGAGGAAATTACATTGCTCCCTTTGCCAAGTGTATTCCAAACGACTACATAACGGCACACACGTGCCCTGCTCACTCCAAAGTCCCCACTCCAAGGGGATAGGGATGACCACTGGTACGAGTATCAGTACCGAACGGTTCACGGGGAATTTGCCCCGTGAACCGTTCGGTACCGATACTCGTACCGGCACACCCCTAATCCCACTGATGTCCTTTTCTTATGATCTTCATGCAAGATAATATGGTGCCTCATTCAGAAATATTCAAACTGAACTGGCAAACAAACACTAAAAAACTTCACCTGTCATATTTCTCTGATAGACACTCTGGCCTCTCGTTGGAAATTGGCAATTCTTTGATTTCCATAAGCTCTTCCTGCAAAAACAAACAATTATCAGCATGATAAAACTGTACAGAACACCTCACAACTAAATGTAAACTAGCTTGCATGTTCCCAGCCATTGATCCAAGTTGTGAGAAATGTCATGTAGAACCAGCTAAATTAACTCGCATGTTCTGGACCCGTCCTGCTCTGTCTTTTTTTCTGGGAGTCTGTCTTTGATTCACTCTCAGCTATCACATCTATTAACATTTATTCTTCTCCATTAACTGGCCTGTTCTGAGTTTTTCCTCCCGATTGCGAATTGCCATTTTATTTTGCTGAGTTAGTAGCTTTTATTTCACTACTAGCAAGGCGCTGTATTTTGATGCATTGGAAAAGTCCTCACCCCCCTCCCATACTCCATGGATACAATATGCCTTGTTCTTTGTTAAATTGGAAAAACTTAAATGCAGTCTCGAGGTTCCATGGTTAAATTTTCAAGAATTTGGTTTCCCTTTTTGGATAACGTTAATTCTCTGTGGCTAGATGTAACCTCTAGGCCAGGGTATGTGATCTTTTTGTATTTTTATTATTATTTATTTTCTTTCCTGATTTTAATGATCTGTTTTTTTTCTTAATGTTACCGATACCAAATGTTCAAAATCAAAGAATAAAAGTGAGGCAAGCAACACTACGCATTTTGCCATCATCTAATGTTCATTGTTTCAGGAAATAAATGCGCAATGCCAATCAATCACACATTATTTTAAAATAGGTATGGACTAAAGTTAAGGGTTTTCCTGCTATTTATCCAATTAAACATGCACGTCAAGATTAAGTCAATGTTAAGTTTTTCAATTCACTGCAATTCTACTAAACTTAATTTAATAAAACTATTTAAAAAAAGGGGGTTAAATAATAGGATTTTAGTATTGGTAATGAATCATGAATAAGATTAAAATATATAAAAAAAAAACCATTTAGTCACCTTTGGGGTCATTGTTACGTAGCAACAGGAGTAAGCAGCTGCTGCTCTGGTCGACAAACAAATTGCTCAGATTCTAAGCAATCCATTTAAATGAAGTCTTAAATCACCCTTGAAATTGACATGAAAAGAAAAACCACTGTATCTATTTTTGTGGTTCCACTTAATCATGACATTAAAGTCTGCTTTAATGGGCTTCAAACATGGTCTTATTTATGGCCATTTAAAGCTCTAAACGTTACACCATGTGTTCAAAGTACATCACACTGTAATATCAAAAGATCAAGGCAGATTTGCTCCTCAAAAGAAGTTTCCTTTAAGGGATTGTGATTGTTCTCACCTTGGTATATCTATAGGCGGAGGTCACTACTGAGTCCTTCACCGTTTCCACTATGTTTTCACCATTTTCATCCTTCTCCATGACTCAGGCGGGTGGTCAAACTGAAGTGAAGCCTCAATATCAGACACTCTAGGCACCTGTGAATTAATTCTATAGCATTAGTTTAACTGCCATGTCAACGTAATTCACATTTATTTGGTTTATTAGTCTTCAAATATTACAAAAAAAACAAAAAAAACTAGCTATTCAATCCAAACTCACTGAGCTATTAAGTGCGATTGTACAAACAGGCTGCAGGCAGTTTAACAAGGAGTATATAAATCCCGTAAAGTCTATAAGAACTTCAAATTAAATGTAACTTGAATATATTTTAAAGGGGATTAAAAGGTGTAGGGATTTAACATCAGGTAAATGTCTGGCTCCTGAGTAGCTGTTGTATTAGCAAATGACGAGGCATACAGCAAGCCAACTACAGAATACTAATCAGTCTGATGCAGGAACATTACGCTACAATCTCCCAAAAATGAAGAACGCGTCTGTTTTGAAAAAAAAACAAGCACCTTTCTCAACATTTTGATAAACCCACCTGATATTTGAAACGGTGTCACAGCACCGTCTCTCTCCTCGCCTGGATAACGTTACCTCAGTTAGCTTCTGGCTACCTGTCTTATACCAAACTACAAGAGATGCTAGTCAGTCCAGATTTCAGACAGGACGCGGATGAAGCTTTCTGCCTAAAAATAAAGTTTCTCTGTCGACAATCTTGACAGGAGCTTCGGATAGCCCTTGTCACTCCATATTTAATCGCTAATTGGCGGAGAGGAGCATTTTATTAGCAAACTGGCTAAACTCAAGCCGACGCTGACTATTTACTTCGGTTCTTATGGACAAACGGCTCTATTTGCACCGTTTCTGCTTTTAAATTACACTTTTGGCTGGTTTCACCTTAGGGTTTTTTTCATGAGAGCGAAAAACTTCAAAAAAAAAATCCGTGTTTGTTTATTTATAGGCTAGTGAGCCGGGTTAGCAGGCTAGGAAACTTATCCCCACTCATAAAGCTGCACAACGTACATAAAAAGCGCGTCAATACACTAAAGCTCACATATATTAGGACAAATTCCAGCAGCTAACTGGGTTCGATCACTTAATTTAAGCTTGTAGTCCGACTGCAACAATCAATGTACCTCGGGGTACTTTCTCTGAGCTCTCGCTTACGTCTCTGTTCAGTCTCAGAGTGGCGAATTTCTTCAGATCTCTGACTGGTTCTGAGGAAGGCCCCAATCAAGGATTATATAGTGTCTAATCACGCCTTCTTTAAAGTTTTAAGAAACAAACACTCACATTTGATTGTAATTTCAAATCTAAAAACAAAAAACACCAGATTACGTGGTTACAAATGTGTATTTTATTCAAGGGGGTTGACAAGAGTCGTTACGGAATTTTAGAGCAAGAATACATTTCAGGCAATCAACGTGGCCACCCATTATAAATTGCAGTCACGTGACAGGATTTAAAACGCTTGATTTTTTTTAATTTACATGATTCGGACTAAAGTTCAAAGTATTTACCTGCTATTTATTCGATTAAACAAGTATGAACAAGATGGACCAATTCCATGTGTGCTTGCACACATCTGGCGAATGAAGCTAATTCTAATTCTGATTCTGTTTTAGGTTTATTTGTCAACCTCGTAGCATATAATCAAATTAGTAATCAGTATTTTTTAGAAAAATAAGATTATGTAAGAAAATGTAATAAAACTATAAGAAGAAAGATTTCAAAATTGTTAATAAAAACAATAAGTATAATGAGATTAAAATGCAATAGAATAAAACAGAAAACAGAATTGACTAATGTATGTATATGCACACATATAAAGTAATTGAAAATGTTTTTTTTAACTAAATATTTAATTACCAGCATAACAATTTAAGTGAAATGTATAATAATGATCACTCAGACAGACTCTCAAAGTAAAAGTGACTGTTAGGTCCCTTTCATTCATTAATTTCCAAAGCTTGGAAACTTCCACATGAGTAAAACCGTTAAGTCCTACACACTTTATCTACTCGTCGGCCATATCGAATCGTATCGAAAACAAAATAAGTGGTATCGCCCATCCCTACTGTTCTGTGATGTCATCAGGAGATTAAACAGCCCAAATGCGCATTTCCTGCTTAGTAGAGAGACGTTACTCTCCTAAGAAATCTCACAAACTGATATGTTGACCTTGGGACTTTATCTACTCGTCGGCCATATCGACATGTTGAGTCATTGTGTGTGAGTTTAACAAACGTTCTGTTCTGTGATGTCATCAGGAGATTAAACAGCCCAAATGCGCATTTCCTGCTTAGTAGAGAGACGTTACTCTCCTAAGAAATCTCACAAACTGATATGTTGACCTTGGCCTTGTCAGGACTTCTGCGTGACATTTTTAAATGAAAGTAGAACACAACTTAAAAAGCATTGCGGCTCAATATTAAATTCACAAAATCCTGTGTACAGTAAAGACATAAAAGACCAGTTCTACAGGATGCGTCAGTAATGTATTTAATAAATTAAATTAATTTAATATAACTGCATTATTTTAAAATATCTGTATTAATATTACTGTAACACAACTGCATTATTATTATTAATAATATTATTATTATTATTAATTATAATATAAATGCATTATTAAAATGTTCAAGTTGCCATTTTAGGCAGGTCTTTTATTATGACATTTTACCGGAAGAAAATGTATTCAACACTGAAGAGCGGCAGTTATGGTTTGTTGTTAGTTGTTGCCAGTACGATGACAGCTTTTTAATGAGCTGCAGTAGCGTTAAAGCCGTAAGTTGAATCTATAAAACCCTAAACGCTACTTTATTTACTCTATTCCAACCAAGTAACGTTAACGTTATAGTAACTTATGCTTGAATGATCTATTAAAGATGCAAACGAAAAGACCAAAAGCTGGGAAACAGTTGTCTGGTGGTGTAGAAAAGAACCGACCACGCAAAACACTCATACCGAAAAACACTTACCGGGTCGGATATACTTGGAACCGAGGTGGTAGACTTAAAGAGCTGAGGATAAGGTAGGAGGTAATGGCATCCCCCATTCGTTTATATGTTGTGAATGTCATGATAAGTGACTGTTTTTTGGGGGTATTTAGGCATCTTGCTCGGAAGTTCCTTCACTTGTGGATTCAGAAGACATTTGGACGAATAACAACATCACAAGCCAGGTCCAGTAGAGTGGTCATGTGTTTAAATAGCGCAGTAAAATGTACAAAGAAATGCTGCAGTGGTTCGACTGTGCGATATATAATGTTTATTTAATGAAAATTGTATATATATATATATATATATATATATATATATAGATCTCATTATTGTAAGGTGGTCTTGAGGAAAACCTTAGTGGCTTGGAAAGATGAGTGGTGGCATGCAAGAAAGGAATGGACCCTAAATATAAGAGCAGACTGCCATTATACGTAAGTTAGTTCTCTTATGCTGACCAAGGCTGCATTTATTTAATCAAAAATAGTCAAAACTGTAATATTGTGAAATATTACAATTTAAAATAATTGTTTTCTATTTTAAAATTTAGCTTATTACTGAGATGGCAGCACTGAATTTTTAGCAGTCAACATTACTCCAGTCTTCAGTGTTACATGATCCTTCAGAAATTATGCTGATATGTTGCTCAAGAAACATTTCTTATTAGTATCAATGTTAAAAAATAGTTGTGCTGTTATCAATTATCACCAACCATAATTTATTTTATTTTTTTTATTGAATTTTTTTATTTGCCCATTTTAGGTATATGCTGTATAGCAAAACATTTCAAGCCTGGCAGGAGTACGTTGCTGTCCAGAGAGAAGAAAAGAGAAAAATGCAACTTGCAATCAGATTCGGTGTATAGGCTGTTATTCTGTTAATATTTTAGTTTATAGAGTTGAATGAGGATGTAAATAACTTTTCAGCGTTTTATCTCACATTACTGGGGATGATTGTGTTGTGTATTATGTCATAGTAGCTGTAACTGAATATTTGTACTGCAGAGACAAAGCACACACTACGTTCTGTGTGGAATGGTTGGGAACTGTACCTGGACTTTTGTCGCATGAAACGCAGGATGCAGGAGGCAGCAGTGCAGCATGAGAGACTCGCTGTACTAAAGTGAGCATTGCTCTTATGTGGTGTCAGAAAAATATAACAAGTCACATTCATAAGAGTAAAGCAGTCAGATACATAATAAACAATGTTGCGATCCTGGTGTAGGGTCAGAGTGTAGCATAAAATAACAGACTTGACTATGACAACAACATTTTATGTTAAAATTTAAGCAAGTAAACAAGCAAAAATCAGTCAATATGTTGATATAATTTTACATGTATTAATAAATGAGTAACATTATTAAACAGAAATATATGTACACTACTGTTCAAAAGTTTGGGGTCAGTCAAATACAGTTAATCAAAAATACAGTAAAAACAGTCAAATTGTTATTACATATTATAACAATAGTATTGCAATATAAAGTAACTGTTTTCTATTTTTATATATTTAAAATGCAACTTATTCTTGTGATGGCAAAGCTGAATTTTCAGCATCATTACTCCAGTCTTCGGTGTCACATGATCCTTCAAAAATCATTCTTATATGCTGATTTGCTGCTCAAGAAACATTTCTTATTATTTTCAATTATCAAAAACAGTTGTGCTCTTTGATAATTTTGTAGAAACCACGATACATTTTTTTTCATGTATCTATGAAACTTCATTCATTTAAAATTTATTTTGATTGCTTCCATTGTCTTCATTTGTAAGTCGCTTTGGATAAAACAAATTTGGCGTCTGCTAAATTACTAAATGTAAATGTAAAATAGAAGTCTTTTGTAACATGAATCTCTTTACTGTCACTTTTGTTCAATTTAATGCATCCTTGCTGAATAAAAGTAATAATTATTTAGAATGGTTTAATTAAAAATTATTTATATGGTACATTTATATAATATAAACATATATAAAAAGGCATGTATATCACATTGAAGGCCTATTTTTTTTTAATGGCCTTTTAGTAAAATGCTAATGTGATATATTTTTGTTTGTGCATATTTTGGTCATTAAAGGTGGGTTTGGACTGTGTGGAATATGACACTACAGCACAGGGATGTGGAGTACCATCAAGAAGATCTTGCTTTGCAACACTGGGCTCACACTGTACAGAGCAGAGTGAGTATGAACATGTGAGAATGCAACTGTATGATGAAATTGAGGGATCTCTAAAGTGGCTATTCTTCACAGGCGTGGCTGCACTGGAGAGACAGGATGAAACAAGCCTGTGTTCTGAAAGAGAAGGAGTCCAAAGCTCATCGTCACTATTGTCTTCAACTGTTAAGACATGCACTGCATGGATGGATCAGACACACAGAGAACCGACAGGCTAAGAGCAAGAAAACAGGTGCCATTCACTTTTTATATTTATGATATATACTGTTGGTCAAATTGGTCAGAAGTGACAGTGAAGACATTTCAAATAAATATTTCTGTTTCAAATAAATGCTTCATCACAGAATCCTGTAAAAGAAATGTATCATGATTTCCACAAAAATATTAAGAAGCACAACTGTTTTCAATATTAATAATAAGGACAGAGAGCAGACAAATTGGCCCAGCACGGCTCCCAGCGGCTGGCGTTCTCACACTGGAGACACTGTATCTTTGCTTTCACAGTTAAACAGACAGTTCTCATATACTTTAATACTGGAAGAAAAAATGAAATATGTCAGTGAAAGCATGATGGTACCTAATGCAGTTGTATTCCTGAGCTGTCTTGTAGATGTCAGGTTGTGCTCACAGAAGGCTAAGAGGGAAAAGGCTGCAATGCATCACAGACAACTCCATCTTCTGGTTAGTTGTGTTCTTGTCTTTAGATTAATGTTCCCAGCGGCTGGCGTTCTCACACTGGAGACACTGTATCTTTGCTTACACAGTTAAACAGACAGTTCTCATATACTTTAATACTGGAAGAAAAAATGAAATATGTCAGTGAAAGCATGATGGTACCTAATGCAGTTGTATTCCTCAGCTGTCTTGTAGATGTCAGGTTGTGCTCACAGAAGGCTAAGAGGGAAAAGGCTGCAATGCATCACAGACAACTCCATCTTCTGGTTAGTTGTGTTCTTGTCTTTAGATTAATGTTTTTTTTTGTCCTTTTAATGTTTTATTATATAGCTTTTTTTGTTTGTTTGTTTAATTATGTTGGTCTTGTATTTCTTCACAGCATTTAGGTTTAAGAGGCCTTGCTCTAAACGTCACTCAAAGTAAAACTCATCGTCTCAACAAGAACATTAGTGTCCAGCATCATCATTACATTGTATGAACGACACAAATGCACATTATAAACACAACTCTTGACAGATCTGTCCTTGAATTTAAAGTAGTTCATTAAAAAATTAAAATTCTGTTATCAGTTACTCACTCTCAAGTTTTTCCAAACTTGACTTCCAAACAAAGATATTTTGAAGAATGTGGGTAACCAAAAATGTAGTGGTGCCCACTGACTTCCATTGAATGGGAAAAATACTATGGAAGTCAGTGGGGACCAGAAACTGTTTGGTTACCCACATTCTTCAAAATATCTTCTTTTGTGTTTAGCAGAAGATAGAAATGTATACATGCTTTGGAACAACTTAATGTTGTTAAACTGTCTCTTTAACATATTAGTGGAAATTATATTTTTCTTTAATTCTTTTTTTTTTTTTTTAATAAAAGTTAATTGTACTATTAAAAAAAACTAAATTTCATTGACGTAGTCTATCAGTAATGATTATGAATGTTATGTTTTTCTGTTGTCTTTCTATTTCAGTCATTATTTTTAAAGGGGTCCTATTATGCTCTTTTATAAAGTCTTGATGTTGTTTTGGGGGTGTACTAGAACAGGCTCTCTCATACTAGGTTGTTCGAAAAACACATTATTTTTCACATATTTTACATTATTACAACACCTCTCTCCCCAGTCTGGCATGAACGGCTCGAATAGTTTCTGAATCAAATGAAGGCCCGCCTTCTGAAATATGAAATGTGCTGTGATTGGTTAGCTAGGCCAGTGTGTGTTGTGATTGGCACCACTCTGCGGGCCTGGTCGGGAAATGTCATTCCCCTTACCATAGCCGCCTGCAAGCTTCAATATCAAATCAATTTGAGAGCGATTTAAACCCGGATGATTGTAACCACTCTGGGAAAGCTAGCCTCCGACATAACACTTGTTGCCTTCTCTAGTGCAGCTTAACCAGGTCTCGTCCCATTCGTCGATATTTTTGATATCACAAATCCCGGAAAATATGCGTTGTAGTCCAAACGAGTCGTTTATTGTAGTTTTTGAAAAGTGATTTCTGTTAAATAAAATATCTCCTTTTGGAGTGGACTTTGAGCTTTGTTATTTTGCAGATCTTTTTTATGCTCAAACAGCAACATTACAGACGTGAAAGTGAAAAAGCTTAATAAGATCCCTTCAAGGTTTTTGTGTAAAAAGTGTAAACGCCAAAAATGGATATTGACATTTTTCAGTTGCTGGCAAGGTCTTGGAAAGTCTGGCAGTTGCGCTTGGATCAGGCTGAGGACAGAAGCCTGCAGCCCCGAATGAGTGTTGCACAAGCCCATCACAAGTTAGTTACATAAATGATTTAAATATGTGCACTGTTGGCAAAACAATCTACATGTGCTTTTTTATTTGAAGCATGTCATATATATTTATACATTTTAGGTTGTTAATAAACATGAGTTGGTCTGTGAGACTTTTAAATGGTTGTCATTAATCAACAGAATTTCTGTGCTGAGATCTTGCCTTCATCGTTGGAGAAAACGTCTCACAGAGCACCGACAAATGCAGGTAGCCACCACACTCCCATTATCTTATATCATAGGCCACCTGCAGTTAGTAATGGACTGCACTTTTCCCCATTTGTGCCTTAAAAATGCTTCTAATATATTATCAAACTATCTGTATATATACATATTTACATAGGAGTTGGAACTACGTGCTGATGCCTCCTTTGCCCGACGTATCTTTCCACAATGTGTAAACACTTGGATGGAGTTTGCAGCACAACGCACAGAGAAACGAGAGCAGAAAGAGAGAGCTGAACAACATTACAGGCAAGCTTCTGTGCCTAAAATAGTGTGTGCGCATGTAGATATCCATGTCTGTGTTGTATTGTACTGAAAATGTACATGTTTTTGTCCTCTATACAGGCAGCAGACTTGCAGTTGGGTATTTTAAACTTGGTGGAGAAACCTGGAGGTACAGAGAGATCAGAGACTTGCTGACAGAACGGTAAGATGACATCCATGAATATACATTCACAAAAAAATGAAGTCAGTGAGATATCTTTATAAAGAAAATAATACTTTCATTCAGCTAGGATGGACTAAATTGATCAAAGGTGACATTAAAGACATATCTATATCAAATAAATAAATTCTATATCAAATAAATGCTGTTCTTTTGACCTTTCTATTCATCAAAGGATCTTGAAGACAAAATTGATCACAGTTTCCATAAAATATTAAGCAGCACACTCATTTTCCACATTGATAATATTAAGAAATGTACCAAATCCATATATATTGGAAAGATTTCTGAAGGATTGTGTCACACTGAAGACAGAAAATTCAGTTGTCATCACAGGAATAAATTACTTTGTAAAATATATTAAAACAGAAAACAGTTGTTTTAAATTGTAATAATATGTTACAATATTACTGTTATTTGTGTATTTTTCATAGGCTGTGCTGCATTCCGAGCATGTGTCTTGTGCCCGTGCCTGGTCTAAGTGGTACTTTGGTGCTGTACAGCGTAGAGACGAGAGATTCAAACAAGCAGCAGCCGACTCGCTTTACAAGCACTCTCTGCTATGCAAGGCCCTGAACCAGTGGAGAAACCTCCTCGCAAACATACAGACCAGGTGCGAATCAGATAATGTAAGCTACAGGAAGAACATCTTAATAAACCACAGAGAATTTTGATGAAGTTTAAGCTTTTTTGTGTTTTGTTGATTAGTCAGAGACATTTCGAGCAGGCAGAGGATCATTATGGACAGCGCTGTCTGAGAAGAGCCATGGCAGACTGGCATCTGGTACGAGCAGCACAGCTGGCTCTATTCACGAAGAAAACACCTGATAGTGTTTTTTTTTTCAATCATATGATGATGTTGTTGTTTTAATTGGTTTGAAATATTGTGAATCTAATATTAGTAAATGTGAGCTTGTTAAACAGTATGTAGATCACAAAAGACAGAAGAGAGAGAAACTTGCACGAATGGAGAAACATTACAACAGTAGATTGCTCAGACATGCTCTAGAGGCTTGGAAGGTATGAATACAATTGTTTTGACACAGGATACAGTATATTTGCAAATACTGCTATATTATAGTAATGTATTTTAAATTGTTTATATCAAGTGTACAGCTGAAAAGTTGATTAACTCATTGTCTGTACATGCATGCATGTAGTCATACCATTTGCAGACTCAATCGATCAACCAAAATGTAGAGTGCCGTTACCAGGAGCATCAGCAGCACCTTGTCAGGTATTATTATGATCTATTTGTTATAATTTACTGTAGTGTGTATTTTAAGATATGTGATCTGTTCTGTCCTTTTTTATTTATGTTTCTGCAGAAGAATGTTCTATTCGTGGAGGATAAACGTGGCACAGTTGACGGAAGAGAGAGAGAAGGAAAGCAGAGCAAAATGTTTTTCTCAAAAGCACCTTCTATCTCAGGTGCTTATATCAAAATTATTTGTATAACAAGTAAAAAGTAACACCTATTATTTATAAGTACAACTTTATAAACTAAATAATATATATTTGAATTGTTTGATAGGTGTTTCTGGAATGGCGACAGAGAACAGTATCTGCTCATCTTCACTGTCACCAGCAGGAGGAGGCTCTGAAACGAGCTCAAACGCACCTGGATGAATGTACTTTGGCTATATGAATGCCACTCTTATTAGTCTGTTTAATGATGAAATTATTCAGTGTTGTTTTTGTACCGCTAGTTCACTTGCAGGTGGCTTTGAGAAGATGGAGAGAGCGAAGCACAGAGGTAAAAGACGAGAGACTCGAGAATGAGAGGGCCAGCACACACTACAGCAGAACCCTGGGGAAAAGAACCCTCAACACATGGACCACTAATATTCAGCATCACAAAACTTATCAGGTGACTGTCTAAGTCTCCATATCTGTATATATTTCAGTCCAATCTTAATTATTTGATATTTTATGTTGTGTATATATGTTTGTGTTTTTTAGGTAATGAAGAAAAGAAGCTTTGAGCTTCATAAGTTGAGGATTTGTCAGCACTTTTTTATCTGCTGGAAACACAGGTGAGTTTTGATTTAACAAAGCATTCAATCATATTTGATGGATTTTATAAAAAAAAAATCCTTGATGCTGATTGGTCAGTACAGTGGTTCAGCTGCTCTCAAATGTGTGTTATATTAACTGCTATGACACGAAATGCTTTTTTATCTCCTGATTAAAAAATAGCACATTTTTTTTCATTAAACTCTTATTACTATAGCACAGCCTGTTGTTTAAATATTGCTGTACTTGTGATATTAAAGCTTTATTATAGTCTCACTTACTGTGCAGTGGGTGGAGCTGCTGATATTGCCTCATTTCCTTTTTTTGAGCTGCAGCTACTTATGATTGATTGTTATGGTCTCTGAAGTTTTTATATGGTATTTTCTGTCTGAGTTTGAATGTTTATGACATACAGCTGCAGAGCAGAAGAATAGAAGCAGAGAAAACTGAGACTGCCCTTTGGCATTGGTCCCTCAACCTACAGGCCAAGGTAATGCCAGATCATGCACCACTTATTAATGATAATGCAAGTTTCCTGCAACTGCATAATTTCATACAGTTTGTTCTGTATGTTTTCAGGTGTTTTGCATGTGGCGGCAATGGATTGCAGAGTGTCAGAGAAAACTATGACTGCCGCCCCCACTGGATCCCCCAACATTATTGGGCTAGAGTACTGTCAATCTGACGATGCCTGTATGCCACTAGATCAGAGTGCTGTCAATTGCTGCCTGATTGTTGCATGCAAAGTTTGCATTTGGAGCGCTCAACAACGCCGTTAGATCAGTGGGCTCTGTCAGTGCTTTGGCAAGGTAGCACTTTTTTTTTTGCCATGCAATAAAGCTAAGTTCAAAGGCCAATTTAAAATATTGGTACAGTAAATAAAGTGCACAAAATCAGTATTTTGTTTAGGCAGTATTTGTGACACTTTTGTCCAAATATTTGTGGCAAATTTGTCCAAACGGCGTGCGTTTTTTGCGCCAGTGCATTAAAGGATCAGCGTGTCATGTAATATTCCCATATAAACTTTAACATCCAATTAAAAAATATTTGTATAGTAAAATTCGCTAATGCACGAGATCAATACATCCTTTATTAGACCGCTTTGTCGAGTTAAATGCATCCTAACGGAGGTGTCGAAATGCTGAATCAATTCATTCACTTCCAACAGCGCTTAATGGGAGCAGCGTCATAGAGGGCAGAGCGTCACATTATTTAAAGGGGACGTTAACGCGTTAACGAGTAGCGAATGATTAAGTAGCTGCATTGGTTACTTTTATGCCACTGATAAAGCTTTTATATGTAGTTTGGGGTAACAAAGGGGTTTTATAGGTTTGACTGAAATAATAATGCAATAATTATTTGACATTTTAAATCAATGTTTCAAGAAACAACAACAAAAAAATTGAACAAAAAACAGATAAAGACAAAAAAGTAGCCATTGATAATATCTAAACAATATGTAGTAGTATAGTATATAGTATCCAAATCAAAATGTAATAAAATTAATTTATGTGTGATTTATGTGTAAATTATGTGCAATGTCTTCGCCACTAGGGATTGTTACATAGGGCTATACAGGCATCTAGTGGCAACACAATGATATTACAGATACTAAATTGTGCAACATGTTTATCTTAACAGTCAATTTACAAATAATGCATTCAGATTTGTGGATCTCAATGCACTGAATCTCCACAAAGTAGTGTCGTTACTATGACAACCAATTTGAATATGACAAGCAACTGATGTCTGAAAATAATTATATATATATAATTTTTTTTGGGGGGGGGACAATAGGGATTTCGCCTAGGGCGTCAAATTGGCTAGAAACGGCCCTGGGTGCAATTTATGCAGCACTACTGAGGAAGCTATGATGAAATAATTTTTTAATGTCTAGATTATCATAGTTAATTATTTCGCTGTATTGTTATTGTTTGTTGCTGTTCAAAGTTGTTCTAACTTAAAATGATGCATCTGTTAAATGGGTCGCAATGAATGTATTATGTCAGGGAATCGGTCGCACTGAGCTTGTGTTTCACTGTAAAGTAGACACAATTAAGTATTTCTGGTGGTTGTGGTGGTATCACTTGTCTGTATTTGTGGTAAAACTGCTGCCTAAGACATATTTATTTCCTGGATGTCAGATTTTCGAATTTGGTGGCTCTGCCATCTGTATTTGCTATGTAGATTTTAGTAGGGTCATTCACTCAGAACGCATTTTTTTCATTCATGCGTTGCTCGACGTCTTGAATGCTGCGCTCTCGTCTCAGGTCTTTATAGCAGCTTTTCGCGCATAATTCTCGTGTATAATACATAATTCTAAAACACGGCGCTCAAGTTCAAAGAAATTCACCTGCTAAAACACGTCTCTAGACCTTGCACTTAAAAAAAAAAAATTAATTAATTAAAAAAAACTTTTATTGACCTGTCTCGCGACCAAAACACTATCTGCCGGTGTTCTGGCTCCAGCTCAGATGAATCTAACGTTTTGAGCTGAATGTGTGGCTGTCAGTCATCACCGCACCGGTGTGGATATTTAAGGCCCGTTCACACCAAGCACGATAACTATAACGATAACGATATAGTTCTAAAAATCGTTCTCAATATTAAAGAATAGCATAGTTCACACCACAACTATAACGATAACGACACAGAGGAACGATATCGTTGTGATCACTTTCAAAATTATTTTTTCCAGGTTATGAACATAAAACACTGACAGCCAATCAGAATCCATCCTGCTGTAACTAGCTCAAGAATTTAAAGCGGCAGACGCGCGTGCGCTTAGAATAAACAGACGATATCGTTCGCTGGTGTGGACGCTAATATCATTATCTTTATAGTTATCGTTCTTGGTGTGAACGGGGCTTAACTGTACTTCGCGATCACAGATTCTAGCCTACGTCTTGGAATATATGACCCAAATAAGAATTTTCACTTTATATTGTCATCTGAACAAGTAAGTAAAAGTCTGCCACGTTTGTCCTGACCAACTGAGGAAAAATGCATTACAATAAATCGTGCTACCAATGGTGATTTAAAGATCGGTTAGCTCATATCACATCAAAAACCATGCAAATTATTATTGTTATACTTTATTCTCAAATTATTCATGTTAACAACAACATCAGCATTGCCTATAGTGTGTATTAGCGTGTAGATTTCAATTTCTGTACAGTTTCATCTCTAATTGTCATTCCATTCGAATTTCATATTAAGAAATTATTTTAACCCAAAAAGCAAATTATGCTCCCTTCGAACTGGTTGTCTTAAAAATACAAAGCTGTGAGAAAAGGCTAGAAACGATCGGCCACCTGCAGGATCCTCACATGCGATAGCCTACTAGCCGGGACAACTTCTTTATGTTTACAGACGTGACGTAATGACGCGGCAGCATGCTCGAATTTCCCGCGAAAACCTGTACCACTCAAATTAGAAAACATTATTATAAACTAGCCGTTCGGGCTAAAGTAAGGAGAAAGTTTTGAACACTGGCTGGTTATGTACTTGCTAAAATATTGATTTCGGATCATTTTTCACCAAAAAAAGGTTACGGACATCAGCTTTAAGATCTAATATGTTATTATTATTAGTGATTTGAGTAGCTTAAATATAGAATTTAATTTGTATGCTTGTACTTGTCGTTACACACCCCTAGAGGTCTAATGGATTGTGTGTGCTGTTTATGTATATAAGACCGTTGTTTGAAGAAAAATATTCTACTTTACGCATGTTAGACAGTAGCTAGGCTAGGCTATTTGTTCATCTCTGGTTTCATTTATTTATTTATTTAATTTTCAGAATAATTTTAGTAATGTTTCCAAATGATGTTTCTTTGCAGCTTGAGAGTCGCATTTCTTCTCTATCTTCGACATTAAACAAACAGAAACCCACCATGATTCGCCATGCTGCCAGAGTTAACACCATCCAGAGCCAGCTACTGTCCAATGTTAATACAAAAACACCCACTAAGTATGGAATATAAGTATAAAAAGTCTATATTGTGCAGCCCATTATATGATGCCAACTTTATTCCAGAAACAATTTCAGTTGATATTGTATTTTTGGAAATCTAAATTGTGTGACTCAAAACCTGTTTTTATTTCAGTTATTTATGTATTCAAAGACACTTTTGTAAATATGTATTTCATTTCTAATAAAGCATTAAATCACACATTTGAATGTTTTGAAATTGCTTATTTACCTTTAACGTGCATCCTAAAAACTGAGATCATCCTATTATTAGAACTATTCGCTTTGAAAACACCCGCTTGCACAGTACAGTTTTTTCAGACTGACGCAAACCTAGACAGTGAGATCTTCAGTAGACGACATGCCTGTTTCACCGAAACGTCTCTGCTGGACTCGATGTAGACAGTTACTGTGATTCATCTTCCCAGAAAAGATTTCTGATATGATGAAGCGAGTTAGTGTTATTGTCATCTTATTGCTGTGCTCCATCACCAGCTGGGGTAAGTGCGCGTTTGCTAAAATTATCAAAAGCTGCGAAGGATTAACTGGTGCTTTTTCAGTTGTATTTTTTTACATGCATTTCATCATCGTGTTCATTTACATTTTCAGAAATATGTTCATAGTTTTGAACGTATTTTAGAATTATTAGGGGATACATGTTTGGTGAAGCAAAAGTTGCTATACCTCTGCCAGAATATGCATGTTGCACCCACTTACCTACTAATATATAAATATCCCTACTAATTTTGTATTGTAAAAAAAAAAAACATATGTATAGTTTTACAATAATGTTATTTTTTTACAATACAAAATTAGTATGGACTGTATTATAAAACTGACCTACATTTAAAATTGTTGGTCCCACTTTATATTAAGTGGCCTTAACTACTATGTACTTACATTAAAAAGTGTAGTGAACTTATTATGTTAATATTGTATTGCAATACACTTTTGCTGCTATTAAGTTGGGATACGGGTAGGTTAGGGACACATTTGGTAGTATGGGTAGGTTAAGGTGTAAGGGATGTGTCAACAGTGTAATTATAAAGTAATTACAGAAATTAATTACAGATGTAATTACATGCAGGTATTTTTTTTAACATACAAGTACAATGTAAAAACTTGTATGTACACAGTAAGTGAATTGTACCAAATGATTAACTTAAATGTAAGGCCACTTAATATAAAGTGGGACCCCTTAATAATAGACAGTAGTATGCCTGTAATGACAGCTACGTATATTTTGTCGACCATGCGATTTTAATGGTTTATAATTGTTTCCTGTTTTCAAATAAATGGTTTATGGTCCATAAATTCATGCAAAAATATGTTTTTTTGACACAAAACACAATTGTAAATATTTTCATTTCCTCACGAAAGAAAAAAAGTAATTTATTAGTAAAACCCCATTTTATTTGTGACCTGTTATATCACTGTTCTGTAAGTGTATGCCTGTATATCTGCGTTCAGGTAAGAAGATGCGCTTGTGTACAGTCTCAGAGCCGGAGCAGAGGAAGTGTGCTGAGCTGGCCAAAGCTCTGGTCGCAGTCCTTCCACCTGTGGCTCTCAGCATTTGGCCGTCTCTCATGTGTGAAAGCTTATGGCACTGCTGACTGCATTAATAAGATGGGTGGGTTACATATGATATTGTGT